TTTTTAAAGTTAATACTCCAAATTTGATACCTGCTCAACACCCAACCTTTATTTAAAATATAAGGAGGTATCGTTAATTAATATTTTATTTTGTACTTACATACGCTATTAAAACCTCTATTTAATGTGCAGGTAATGTTCTAGATTACATATTTTCCACATATATAAGTGATTTTTGGGTAGTAGGATGGTTGACAATATTGTTTCCTTCATATATTCTTTTCGGTGAATTCTTGTAATATTTAGTTGAGATATATAAAGATTCGTTTAACATTAAACAAGTATATATTTGTAAATTTTAAAATATTGCTGACAATTTTTTATTTTAAAAGAAAATGACATGTGGGTATTGACCTGAATATGGGTAATAATAGTTTTTAATATGTAAGTATCCTTAATATGCAAAGAACAATTTTTGATTGTATTTGTTTAACCAAATTTTGTACACTTTTTTCAATATTTGTGTCTAATAGGAATAGAGCTAAATTTAGATGGCAAATAATGTCCCTATAAATGAAATATTTGTGTATAATTTGTTTTATCACTTGTGATTAGTGGATTAAAACATCTATATTTGAAGTCTGTTTTACTGTACTTACAGGAAGTTCAATTAATGTTTCAATAATGAACAGTTATTTGTAATGGCAGATCTTTTATTTTTAAAATACTTTCTCGAACCCAAAATTTCTTCAAGTATCAACCAAAATTGCTCATGCTCTGTTATTGCGCATTCACAATACAAATTACCATCAGTTACTCAATTCTCAAGCAACAAAATTCTAATTTTTACCAATATTTTTTTAAATCATTTATTATTTTATATTTTAGTTACTAGGTTGTATTGTTTTCATTGAAATGGGGACACTTGTTAAACAAATATTGGATTATGTATCAATATAGAAGAAGTAGTGTCACAGACTTTGAATCGCCTAGAATTCTTCTGTGGCATGTATAAACAAAATAACAAATCTATGCACTGAAAATTGTGATTTTTAAGGAGCTACAGACAAATGTTTATTTTAATTTTTGCAATATTATCAATTAAGAACTACTAGGATATACTTAAAATGCTGGGATTAAGCTCCACGGCACATAGACCTTACTAGGCCTGTTCTATGTATATCATCCTAATCGGACAGTTCAGGTTAAATTTTCTATCAATTGTCAATTCTTCATCTTTTATGTGATAATTTAATAACCTTTTTAAGGAAATTTCTCTTTTACATCTATATTACTAATTTTAAAATGTATTAAATTTTGTGGTTAATTATTCTGCCATCATACACAAAACCCCAGTAACTCTGCAAACTATAGAATTGAGATATTTGCAATAAAATAAATTATTAGTCCCAGCATAGCTGCATTTGTTGAATCAAAAGACAAATTTTGGATAATGCTTTTAACTAGTTAAAAATAAGTGTGATTAAATTTTTTGTGTTGGCTTGTGGGTTAAAAGGTTTTTGCTACAAAAATATTAGTTATGGTGTAGAATAAAGTAGACTTTTTAGGATAGGTATAGAATAAATATTACCAGGATTTTGCTTACTTTTTAAGAAGAAAAAAAGCTTTAGTATCAGAATGGTCAAATAATCTCAAATATTTGTAATTTGTCAGGGGGTTTGGCTTATGATGGCAGTATTCATATTTGGTAATTGAGTTATTTGTTCCCTTAAAGAAATTTGTTATAAACAGATTCCCACATTGGTATTCTTTTCAACTCAGAAGCTTCGTCAACGATATAAAGGTTGCACATAAGATTTACAAGCTAAACAGGACTCCCCATAAATTATGAAATATTCAGTCAATTAAGATCACAATGCAAGATTATATCCAGAGAATGATGTTCAAATTACATACATTCTGTTGAAACTTCTGTTAAAAGTAATGTTAAAGCCTTTTGGAATTTTGTAAGTTCCAAAAGATCTAATAACACCATACCTGATAATATGAACCTTGAAGACTCTTTTGCTTCTTGTGACAGTGAAGTATCAAATCTGTTTGCCAAGCATTTTTCATCAGTTTACACTAATCTAAATCAAAATTTTAACGATATTTCGACCATTTACGAGAAATTATCTGATCTTGACATAAAGAAAGGTCCATGTCCTGACATTATTCCTCCCACGCTACTCAGAAATTGCAGCTTCGTATTGTCTCGCCCTCTCTTCTATATTTTCAATAAATCTATCGCCACGGGTGAGTTTCCAGATTATTGGAAACGGTCTTATGTCACCCCAATATACAAATCGGTTAGCAAGTCAGACGTCAAAAAGTACCGACCTATATCTATTCTCAGTACTATACCTAAGATTTTTGAGAATACTATAACAGACTACCTTACCTATGACTGCTCTGGCATCATAACGGATCGTCCATATGGTTTTTGTGCTGGGAAATCGACTGAATTAAATCTAGTTACCTACGTCGACTTCCTGTCGGAAGCGTTAGAGAAGGGTTGCCAGATTTATTCTGTTTACACTGGCTTTTCTAAGGCTTTTGACAATATGGCATAAATGGGGGTCGTACTGCAATGGATTTGTAGCCATCTTATGAACAGAACTCAAATGGTTAGAGTAAACGATCACTATTCTAACTCATTTCAAGTTACCTCAGGTATTCCTCAAGGATCACACCTTGGTCCCTTATTATTCAACTTATTTATAAATGACATCATTCATTGTTTTCAGTATGGCAAAGCACTATTGTTTACAGATGAATTAAAAGTTTTCCTAATTGTCAAAACCATTTATGATACCCTCTGGCTTCAGTCTGACCTTGAAAATCTATCAAACTGGTGTTCCTTAAATGGCATGGACTTTTATTCCAAAAAGTGCCTTGTCATGTGCTTTTATCGATCTCATGTACCAACTACTACTTTTGATTATAACTTAAAAGGTCATATCTTGGAGTCTGTTAATCAAATTAAAGACCTTGGAGTTATTCTAGATCCCACTTTAAGTTTCAATCAACACATACCTAAGGCTATCCATAAATCCATGAAAATGTTAGGTTTTATAAAAAGGCTAACACATGATTTTACTGACACAACTGCAATTAAAGTCGTTTATTGTTCACTAGTCCGACCTCACCTAGATTATTGCTCTTCTGTCTGGTCTCCACATTATATAATGCACAGCAGAAACATAGAAAATGTGCAACATAAGTTTCTTAGATACATAGTCTATAAATTGGGTGTCCTTTGTGAGTATGGTTTGTTAGAGAATTTTCTAAACATCCCCTCTTTGGTAACTAGGAGGAAACAGAGAGGCCTGACATTACTTTTCAAAATTATCAATGGCAGATGCAGCTGTACTGAACTTCTAACAAAAATAAATCTTTATGTTCCAACCTGCTTAACTCGACAGCAACAAACATTTTATGTACCTTTTTATCGTTTAAACCATAATTTTAGCAGCTGTATTCCAAGAATGTTAAGATTAGCCAACACTCATAACGATCTTGAGATATTTAACACCCCCTTTCATAAATTTGTAAAGCAATTACTTAGTACTAATCTTTAATTTTTAATGTTTAATGTAAATATTTTATTCAACCTTATTGTTTTTTGTCTTTTTAAATCTTTTAAATTCTTTACCTATTTTAGTCTATATGTAATAAATTATACCACGTTTGTATTTCAGCACCATATATATTTCACTACATTTTAATTATAATTTAAAATTGTAATTTATTTCTCAAATGAGCTTGCCTGTAAATAAATAAATAATTTAAAAATATAATTTATCGTTTTACATTTTTGGTCAAACTTTTCTGATAAATGTTATAAACACAATATTATTACCAACTATGTATAATAGGTATAATTGATTCTATGAAAAATATTACCTTGTTTAAATTTAAATAAAATTAACAATTTCTACAAGAACCAGAAAACAATTAGAAATCAGTTTTTAAGTAATGTGGAGTATGTATGCACTTCAAATATTTTACAAGAACACCTAGTTTTTATTGACATACAGTATTATACCGTATTATACCTAGTATGAAGCTTAAGATGTTTTAAGAGTGTACAATTTACTAGGTAAGGATGTTTGTGTGTTATGAATTATGAATGTGAATTTTAGCAGGTAACAGCTATTTAAGGTTTTTTTTTTTTTTGAATGACTGAAATTGTTTCAAGAGTGTCCCACAATGCAGTCAAGAATAACAGTATATGATTATTATTTAACCACATTTTGAATATACTCTTTTTGAACACATCTGATTTAAATAAAATGAGAAACCTACAAAAACTGCAAAATCGCATAATAAGGATTATTTTGAAATGCAGTAGGCTTACATATTTAAATATGGTATGCATTTACTTTACAAAATTTTACATAGTCTTTTACCATCATATTTCAACAAATTTGTAATTTTTAATATTCATTCATCAGTATAATACTAGAATAAGAAATAATTAATATGTAAATAAACGAAAATATTAATTACTAAAACATTAATTTTTAAAAGATTTATTAATTATAACAGTCTACCTGAAAATGTAGTCTTATTCTGTTTAAGACATTTAAAAAAAAATGAAAAGAAAAAAATGAACCAACTATAAATACAATAAAACAGGATTATATTTAGAAACCGTAATCATTGAGAAAATTTCAATGTCAAAAATCTAAAGTAAGCCATTATTAATATGATAAATGGTTTAATTACCTATTTATAATATTTATTCATTTCATTTATAGTCTGATTTACGATACTGTTAAAAAAATGTCTGCTATTTTGTTAGATCCAACTTTTTATTTATATATAGTTAATTGTTTAAATCTCAGTTAATAAATATCACATTATTCTAAAGCCAAGCTTGGGCTTTATACTATACTGTACGCCTGACTCTTAGAATACCGACACATCAAAATTGGGGCCATGTTTGCAAAAGATTATTGAATACGATGACCTCTAATGTATTTTTTATTTTAAATAAACTAAATTCTACATTCTTTTACAATTTATAATAACATTTTAGCTGAGGTAATCCAACGATGGATAAACATCCCCTAAAAAATGAATCTACAGCGGAAATTACTCAACATTTAAAGTTACACAAATCGTCTGAAATATGTTTCGTTTGCGGCAATCAAAATCAACCTTATATTTATTACCTTAATACCCGACCAATACCCGATAAGCCGCAAGAACCTTATTTTCCCTTCTTGGAGTCTCACGAACCGCCGCTGGGGCACATATCGAAGAGCAGCCATTCAGTTCCGGCATGCTATTTGTGTTACAAACTACTTCTAGAGCAATGGGATGCTTACGAATTGACTTCTAAGCCGCACTCTGAAAGATTGTATTGGCTCAAGAGGGTGGATAATGGACCTTATACTGGAGCCGATATGGGGATGCAGGGGGAGTATGCTGCTCAAATTTTAGGTCTGAATAACGAAACCATTCCTGGTATCGCGGTTGGACAAAGGAGCGTTGTAGGAGTTAAAGATGAAGTGAAAATCAAAATTAGTGGAAGGCATTCCCAGGTAAGCATATCCTAACAGCTGTAAATCTATTTAAAACAGGAACATACTCTTTTGCAGCCACCTGTAACACCTAGAAACGACGTTGATACAATTTCCGAAAGCGCCCTAGATCTGACGCACCCAAATCCTATGCCTTCTATCATTCAATCGGCTCCAGTTTACGCCCATAGTCAAAATTCCAACTCATCAACTGGTACGGATATCCTAGATTTAAGTATGCCAGATAAAAATTCTTCGACTGAAGTCTGTTACGTATGCGGAGACGAATTCAAGAGGGGTAGTCTCGATTTTGTTGCAAGCAAACAAGTCGCTGATTCTCCACTGAAGCCTTTTTTCCCAAGTCTGATTGAACATCCGAGACCCAGTAGAAGTAGACCAATTGATTCTGCTGGCCGGGTTCAAGCTTGCGTCGAATGCCAACAGCATCTCTTGAAGCAATGGCAAACGTTTCAGGTATTTTTTAGAGTATTTGCTTCACCTTTATAAATTATAACCGTTTTATTTTTTCATAGGTACAGGGTATTCCTCATGCTGAACGTAATTATACGTTGCGAAAACGGCAGAGTTCGAATTTAGATACCACTACTTTCATATGTTACACATGTGCTCTTGAATATCCATCTAGTAGTATCAGATTGCTGTACTGTTGTCAAAATTCCGAAAAGGAACCGTATTTTCCTTTCATTCAAACTTTGAAAGCGCCACCCGGCGCTAGTCCTATAAGTCCACAAGGTATGGTTCAAGTGTGTTCAATTTGCTACAAGTCAATTCCTCAAAAGCATCAGGTAATTTTTTTTTTCTTGATATTATTTGTAACTTGAATTAATCTGGATTGTTTTTGTAGGTGTTTGGTGGTGATCCTACATCAATAAGTGGAAATCATGTTTCTGTTAATGATATAATTTTCCATAATAGTAATTCTTCTAGACCTAGCACAGTTAAATCTCCAGCTAATAGTGCGGGTTCGGATATTAGGTACAAACCGTATGATATCAATTCATCAATTATGCTTACTAACAAGAAAAAGCAGGCTATTCTAGAAGGGCGGCATAATTCGAAAGTAAGTAATATAATGAAATGTGCACATATTCAAGTGGGTATAGTAGTATATGATGTCTGATCTGACCCTGTATTTTAGTTCCTGCAAGGAAACGGTGAGGGTAAGATTTTTATATAAGTGGGTAGTAAATGTGCCAAAAATTTGATTTTTATCTCGTCTGTGAATAAAAAAAAAAAAAAAAAAGGAAAAACATTTTATGTGCCAAGACTCGAACTCGCAAATCATTTGCTTCAGTAGCAGACGCCATATCCATTACACCACATTCTATCGATGTTTGTATTTGCAAGGCAGTGTATTATACTATAAATTCGGATGGTTAAGAATTAAATATCACTTCTTATTTTGCATATTATCTTTTAGTTATTAATATTCGTTTTTAGCCTTTGGTATCTACTCGAACCACATCTCCATCGCCGGAAATCAACGGTCAGCCTAGCAACCAAAATTACCGTTGCTACATTTGCATGGGTCTCTACTCTCGTTCCCAAATGGAATGGGTCAGTACTTCTGCAGAAGGTATGAATTCGCACGCGATGCATTTCCCTTGTCTAGCGAAAGTATCTCGTTCGTCTGAAAACAGCTGTATGGATTCGCATGGGAGAGTGTTAAGTTGTACAAAATGTGTTAAACATTTAGCGCAGCAATGGGAAGGATTCGATGGCGATAGGGTTCCGTTAGAAAGAAGAAGGTAAGTTTGGGTTTACTGATGAATTAGCGAATGGACCTAATTGGTGTCTACTACAATACGATCTTCAGTGCACTGCTTTTAAGACAGTGTTGTTTTTCTTCTGGTGCAAGATCTTAACTTTTTTTTTTAATTTTAGGTACGACATTCCTACCCCTGAAACAACGGCCAATGGTGACCAGGGTATTCCTACTCCTCCTAGCACTAATAGCGATAGAACGGTGTGCAGTAATAGCAATCCAGCATCTGCAAATAGTAGCATTTATTGTTTCCTCTGTGGTTTACATTCGGAATTGACTTTAGCTAGAGTGGTGTACAGCAAACCGCAAGGTATGTTCAGTATTATATCGATCTTGAAATTAATAATATTACTAATAATAATAATAATACTAATAATAATAATAATAATAATAATTTTTATTCACATAAATAATTACAAGTAGCTGCGAATTATACTTAGTAAAAACAATTCAATTCAAGGATCATGTACCTGAGGGTGGGCATGAATTTCATTTTTTAAACAACAAACTAATAAAACTGAATTACAAAATAAAAACATTAAATTACAATACATAATTGATTAAATACAATTTAAAATAGTCTTAAATTTTTTTTAGACTATAACAAGCACCATCAGAATTTAAAAATTGTTTTAGTTTTATAAGAGGTATCCCAAATCCATTTTATAACTAGATTTAATTTTTTTGATATCCGTAGAAATATTGTTTTATAACTTTGGACCTAAATATCTAAAACATTTTTGTCCAATCAATTTCTAGAACATTTTAAGCTATTTTTAAATTGCACAGACATGTTTAGATCGTGTTTGGAAAAACCCTACTGGTAGTAATATATTATTTCAAATTTCAGGTCGGAATGCTCCATATTTTCCATATTTACTAAGTCACAAGAGCCATCCTAATGCAGAACAACTCAGAGATGATGGATCTGCTTTGTTGTGTACCTTTTGCTATCACAGTCTCGTCAGTCAATGGCGGAAGTGTGAAGCACAGGGATCTGGTTTAGTTTCTTCTGCTGATAAGAGAGATTATAACACTCATGATTATTGCTGTTATGTGTGCGGTATTACGACTTACAGGAAGAGAGTGAGGGCACTCTTGATTAAAGTAAGATTTTTTTTATAAATTGAATGCTGAGAAAGTTAAAAGTTTTTAAATTAAAATTGTGCATTTTCTTTTAAAACTCAGGATTTCCCATTTCTAAAATTCCATCCACAACCGGAACATTCTCTGTTATTGGAAAATGGGGATTATGCTGTCGTATGCCTGGATTGTTATGAGACGTTAAGAACTCAAAGTTTAGAATATGAAAGATGGGGTTTGCCAATCGATAAAAGGCAATATAATTGGATAACACAACCACCCCCGCCAGAAGATAGTCCGGAAGTTATGGTTGCTAGGTTACCAAGTGGACAACGAAGTGACAAAGTGGTGAGTAACTGCATAGAAAAGTTCCTCATTATATCGATTATAATTATTATAATGTAACAATCATTGCGAATAGGATCTAATTTGAAAACCTTTTCATCATATTTTTTTAATTTAGTTCTTTCTTAATTAAGTTAAATTTCTGAAATGATGTCTTATGTAAAGTATAGCTTATATGCTTTCATTTGTATGGTCCACTATAGTTATAAAAACATATGGTTAGAACTGTAGTGTTTTAAATTTGGTTGATGGTGAGAGAGGTTCATTGTATCTGCTTTGTTGTTCGTTGTACCCCAAATCACAATAATACTTGATATGCTGCAATTTATTAGTGTGGCATTTGCATAGTTCTGTATTTAGATCTCTTATTGTAAAGAAATAATCGAATCTAGGAGAAAATACATTTCAGTTTAATTATTCAGTTGTTTTTTTTTATTAATTTCAGGTTCCTCCAACTTTCGTAGCCAAGCCAAATAAAAGAAATCATTCTCCGAAAGCGATTGATAAGAAAATTTCAAGGGCTGAATCACGGCCAGGTAAGATTCTATAATAGTTTTTTTTATTTAAAGGTACGAGTCTGAATTTAAACTGAATCTCGCCGATCGGATTTGATAATTTCATAACGATTCTATCGCTTGTAAGAAAAATAGAATACATTGTGACAATATTAATGAATGTATTCACATGAAGTCCTTAACACCTTAGGGTATATAAGGCTTTGATTTTATATAAATTATTGTGATGATAATAAACTGTAGAAAAGCAATTTATTTACAAAAGTAGTATATCTTCTAATTAAATTAATTTCAATAATAAAACTATGGAATTTGCATATTTTGACCATGTCAAGACAGGGGCTCGATTCTCGAGTTCATTGGAAAATTTTCCCATGGGAAAAGATTCCACTACTTATATTCCCATGGTAATAGGTCATGCAATTCTCGAACTTGTCGGAATAGGCATTCCCATGGAAATAGTAGTTTCACGTATGTCTGATATTAAGTCGACGAATATTTCGAAACAACCAATAACATTAAAGATATTTTAAAATTTACTGTTGGCATTATCGGTATTTGTTGTGGTTTGTGGGTAACCTGTTACCTGCCGAGCCCCCGCTCCGGAGCAGGTGCCGTGCCGAGCAATCGCTAGCATGACCGAGAAACAAGGGAAAATATCCGATTGTATAATTAAAACTTGTTGAATTATTAGCTTTTCTTTTTACATGTTGAAAAAAGAAAAAGTAGCTTTTGTACGGAAGAGCAACGAAAGTTTCGAGAAACTAAGAAATTCCTTCGTTAACGGAAATAATAAAATTTTCGAAAGGGTTGCTTCATTATTCAAATTACTACAAATTTTTCAATTTGTATTATTTACCAGTCCCTCAGCAGCTCCCACAATTGCTAACTGATTTAAGAAAATCAGTTCATAGTTTCTTAGTGAAAGAAAAGTAAAAATAATATACCTATACATAAATAAAATAATATCAATCAACTTAAATCTACAAGTAAAAATCTATAAATACGCCAAAAAAATGTTTTAACTACAATTTCACCAAAAATCCAAGACATTCGAAAATCTTTGGTTATGTGTGTTAGTCGTTCGTCAAATTTTCGACTTTAATGCGCAAATTTGCATGAATGTCAAATTAACTTTTCGAGTTACTAAGGCAACGGTTGTTGAAGAAAATGAGAGCTCAATTTTCGAATGAAAACAATAAAATTTTGAATAAAAAAAAGTAATGGATTGTATCTTATTGTCCAGAATTTGTAAGTGATAATTTATTAAGGTAGTTCACTCGCGACAGTCGTACCTAAAAATATCGCATAATGGTGAATACCAAAACTTCGAGATTCTCAGTGCTATTCAATTTTATTTTTGTAAGAGACTGTACAAAACACATGTATATAAACACATATGGACATGTTATAATTTTAATAAAATTCATCCGGCAATCTTGCAAATATATGAACGGAAAGGTATAGAAATTTGTGACTTCCTCATACTAATTTTAAGGGTTTGTTTTGGTTCAAACAACCGTTAATTCCACGTCGCGAGGCTATTACAACCTCTTAGCTGATCGAGTGTTATTTTGTTACGTGTAGTGATTACAATGTTGCCAAGTTGTAATAATTTTACCAAACTACTCGTCAACTGCTTTAAAAATATTTTTATTTTAAAAATCTATATCTTTTTACTAAGACGGTCAAAATATTCAGCGATTTTTTAGAAGATTTTATAACTTCTTGATTTACGTAACATTAGTTTTTAAAAAATATGATAAGAACCGTTTTCGAGATATCTTGAAATAAATGCATTGCTTGTGTACATGACAGGCTTCAACAGTGTTAATTATGCACATTTCGATTGTTAATATCTCGTTTCACAGACGGTCAAAAAATTTTTTTTTTAGTTACGTAAACGACACTTTCGTTAACCTTATATTTCAATTTTATTGAATTCTTAAGAAACGCCGTTTTACGAGTGAACTACCTTAATTGAGCATTAAAAAATATTTGCTCTTCCTTGGAAAAGTCCAAGAACTTAACATAACTGTGATACTTACTTTAATCCAAGGCAGTTTTCACATTTTTTCTTGTAGAAAATAGACATTCATTAAAACAGACCTAAATATCCAAAGAAGAGCTTATCAGGTATAATCCAGACTTGAGATTTGTGCATAACCTTTCCTAATAAAATTTTCTATTTTAAATTGTTATAAACACTTAAATTTATTCATGAGTGAAATTAATGTTACTGTAGATAATACATTATTTTAAATGCGAAATAATTTAAATTTTTGAATCAAGAAACTCAAGGTAGCTATAATGATCAAAATTAAAATGGTCTATTAATAATAGTAATATACGTTTTATAATTAACATATAAACCATTTTGTACCTGCCTTGTTCACCATTAAACATCTTTTTGATTTAGTATGATAATTGAACTATAAAAAGTTGATCTTTCGTCATTGTATCCCAAATCACAATAATACTTGATATACAATTTAGTACGACATTTGCGTAGATCTGTATTAAGGTCTCTTACCCCTCTAAACTTGATCACCCATACCAAGCAATATAAACATTGTAGAGAATTATTACAAGGGTTTTGTGACTTTTTCCCTAGGTCCAATTAATAAATGAAAATATAAGTTTTATTTGAATTCAACATATGTTTTGCTATCCATATATAAATGGCAACCAACAAATTTTTATTCAATAGCTAAGGCATATATTCACGAACAGTATCTGGATCTAAACCGGAGCTGTAATATATAATCAAACTGGGCTTTTAATATGATGACAAATGAATTAGTAGGTATATAAGTATTGCACTATAAACCAAAACTTTTTCTTATGTGTTATTTTAATTTCAAGATTTTTTCTTCTATGAAATAAATTGATGTTAATTGTGTTTTATATATTTTACTTATAAAAGGAAGGTATAAGGTTTGTTCCAACAGCGGATCTGATCATCAGAAGGACGTCAGACGGATAAGCCACGGATAATCCGATGAACTGTCAGTAAAACGTTCCAACGTATTTCTGATTCATACATGAATGAGTCGGCGGATTGTCAAAACGATCAGAGCTTCATCACTTGTACAATTTATCAACACATGCGCATTTGAACGTCTCTCCTCGTTCGTGCTATTTGTTTGTAATTGTTGGGATTTTAAGTTAGCTCGGAGTGGCTTGTGTTTGTATTTCTTTTAATTGAAATGAATAATTTTTGTTTTTATCTTGTGTACGGTTTTTTTATGTAAAAAACGTACTTATTTTAAATAAAAATAAACATCCTATGGTTTCAAAATTATAAATTCACATAGAGCGTTCGATATAGCCAAATAAATGTATTTTGCATTCCATTCCATTTTGTGTTCCAACTAGTACAAGTCGCTGATTAAACAACGGACGAATAAACGGTCTGACATGCGCAGTGATTAGTTTATGAATGCATTCATGCACGAGTCAGAGACACATCAGAAAGGAGCTATTGGAACAAACCTATAGTTCATTAAATTTAAAACTATTTTTGACCAAAAAGATATTTCATGTACAAGAGCTGTTGGGTAAGTTATATGATTAAAGCATGATGGTTTATTGCAAATTTAATGTGAAATATATGAATTAATTACCACTTTTATACAAATTAGAAAACCCCGAGTTTGTAAAATTTATTTTTGGAAATTTCTGGCAAGTATCCCAAGCCTTGAGAAAATAATCTCAAAATTGTATACAAGCAACATAATTAAAGTAGACCAATCGGATATAAAATAGGACGTTCAAATCAAAGATTGGGCAAATAATAGTAATAGACTTCATGACATCGGGTGAGAGAGGGTGAAGCGCGCTCTGTAGAGGTCACTTTTGCTACGACCTCAACTTTTCCCCTCGATATGGGCATACTTGGCTCAATGCGGTGTCGTTTCAGCACAGGTGAGTTAGAATTCCCAAAGTCGAGTACGTTCTGTTCTTCCCCATGGTCAGTTATAATCGGAGAACAGTTAAAGTCTATTTCCAGGGGCAGATTCGTAGCTCTCTGACTCACAAAATGGTTAGTCTTGTGAATACCTGAGGGGAACAATTCTCTCTGTGAGGTTTGTCACTGTAATTAGGTCAGTAGTTTCGTCATCTAGGACTAATTCTCAACGGTAAAGAAAATAGTGCTTGGGACTAAGAACTACTAAAGTGACTAGAGGATGATACGCCTGAATCTGGATCAGGACGAGCCGGAACAAGAATATTATTTAAATGAAATTGCACTATTACACATTAATTTATTACTTTTTAAATTAGAAAAATTTAACAAATTGTTTGATAAAAACGTACATTTGTAGCTCATCCCCTTTTCAAAATAACCCCTGATAGTGCTAACCTCACGGTAAAGTTAGTACCAATCACGTAAATGAGCATAAATTGCATTTTTTTGTATAAATGTCGCTTTTTTATCATAAATTTGTCGTGCAAAAAAAAATTGTCGACCATCTCCTTTTTGGAATAAACCTCAGTTAATGTTAATTTTGTTGGAAAGTTAGCACTACCAATCACGAAAATGAGCAAAAATTACATTTTTTTATATAGAAATATTTGACGTTTTTTGTCGTAAATTTGTCGTGAAAAAATTTTTGTCGTCCATCCCCTTTTTTGAAATAAACCCCAGTTAATGCTATTTTTGATGGAAAGTTAGCATTACCAATCACGAAAATGAGCATAAATTACATTTTTGTACAACTGTCGAAAAAACTTGACATTTCTGCGTCTCTGTTGATCCGTAAATGTTTACTTTTTTCACTGCCAAAATAATTCACAAAATAAACATGAAATATTACTTTTTGAAGGATTCATTATATTATTATACAGAGTCAATTATTAATTGATTATTCATCATAAAACAATTTCATTTGAACAATTACTTCCAACATAAATTCCCAAAGATGTCCTATGTTGCTGCTGATCAGAAACGTCAGGTATTTTAATTTGTTTGGAAGAAGATGGACAATTCAATATTTTGACAGTTGTACAAAAAATGT